CAAAATAGGAGTAACGTAAAATTTATAGAATTAAAGGTTCAAAAGAGGAGTAAATGAATATAAGTGTCAAAGTAGGTTTAAATAAGTATATTGGTCAGTTAAATAGGTTCAAAGTATCTTCAAAAGTTTGAAAGTAGCATCAAAATTTCGACTCGGGATTCTGTATAATGTAAGAAAGAAAGATTGACGTATAATGACGAGCGTGTTTATATGTAAATTGTACAAATGTCATGGAACGTAGTATTATATGCGAGAGCCGTACAAATCTCGAAACGAGCGATCTGTCAGCTTGACGTGCGATGTCTGCTTACGTTAGGGAGATCGTTTGGGAAAAGAGGGAGAAACTTTTGATCAAACGATTCTTGTCTGAACAAACTTGTTAAATTCACATCAAGAATCTTATTCACCGTTGTACTCGATAATTGCTAATAAACGTTTACGATTTGGACGCGCGAAATTTTGATGTTAAACACATTTAATGTAAGAAATTAAACGCAACTTTTCGCATCCAAGAGGCATCGCCTCTTTAACTGACGTATCCGTCACGTGTTTTATTACCTTCGTCACAGTTGCACTCATTGACAAGAAAAGCGATAAAAATCTGCAAACCGTAATTATTCGTCCGTTCACAAGTGAGGAGACCTGTACAAGGTGTCCGCGAAGTAAAGAAAACTTTAATTGCGCGCTCGAGAATGTATTTGCTAAAGATGTTCTTTAATTTGGAAAAAATTTTTTAAAAGTTTTTTTCTTTTATATAATCAAACCGCTAATTACAAAGATCGACTTAAAGTAGTTTTTAATCAAATAATTCATTGCGCATCTTTTGAAATTTAATTCGAACAAATATTTCGATTGTCTCGCAAAAAAAAAATCTTAATGCCGCGCGTGGAAGATGACTTTTACATGACGACCAAAGAAATGTGCGATCCCTAGTAGAACGCCCTGTACACTTTCTATCAGGGCGCGATCCCGCCCGCGAGTTCTCTCTCTCTCTCTCTCTCTCTCTTTTTCTCGTTTCTCTCCTACTTTCAGCCCGAGCTGCGGGTTTTGAGGCTGCGAAAGAGGTGAACGTATTGTTTACCGACGTTCCATCCCGATGGTTTCATCGCCGAGCGGCGATGTCAGCAGAAATGGCGTTGCAAATAAAGCGAGTGGGAAGCGGGAAAGACTGTGGGAGGGTTGCGCCACCGCGCGTCGTCGGTTCGTTCATGAAATCGCGCGCTGCGTGCTCGCGTTTCCAAAGTAGCGAAAGCCCAGTCGTGCGTTCGCGCACCGCCAAATGATTTATTCGCCGCTGTTATAACAGCGACTTTGATTAAATTTTGCTGATAATTCCGCGTGTCTCTTTTTTTTTTTTTTCCGTAAATATAGCGAAACATCAAATCCAAAATAATTAGATTGCACTCGCGCGATATCGTTTGTTAAAATATAACATTTTGAAGAGATTTCGAAAGTATTTATGGTGTAATTGTGTATATATAACGTAACTTTGTAAGGGTTTTCGATGATTATATTAAACGGCATGTGTAATCTCACACAAAAGATTACAACAAAAGATATATTTAATCCTCCTGACTCGAGTTAATATTATATCTACGATTCTGATTTTGTGGTGTGAAAATCAAAAATATAAAGAAAAATTGTTGATTTCTTCATTTGTAACGTAATGAAAATATCAATCGCGAACTGACATAGAACATGATTATTTTCGTAGATTAATTTTTAATTGTTTTCACTTACCTAATCGAAGAATCCATCGACGAAGCGAATGATGACTCCTCAGGTCCAACAAGCGCCTCCTCGGCGCTGTCGTTGTCACAGATAGACTTCAGGACTCGCGGGTGCCGGTTGATGTTGCTGCTGCTGCTGTTGCTGCTGCTGCTGCTGCTGCGGATGCTGTTGTTGATTTTGAGTCTGATGTGGTTGCTGTTGTTGCTGTTGTTGTTGCTGCGGCTGCGGCTGTTGTTGTTGCTGCGACGTCTGCTGTTGATGATTATTGTTGTGATTGTGATGATTCTGCCGTGCTCTCAACATCTCGTATCTCTGTTTGTAGAGATCGCGCTCCTGTTGATACCGCGCCGCCTCGACTTTCAGACGATTCAGCTCGCACTGCAGATTCCGATTGGTGGTCTCGAGATCGTGGCGTTGCTGCAGCCGCTTGCTGCGGCAGTTCTGCGCGTAGCCGCGGTTCTTCAGCGTTCGTCGTTTCTGCTTCAGTCGCACGACCTTCGCACACACACAATCGACACACTTTATAATTTCTAATATAATAGAAATTTTTTGAAAAGACATAATTTTATTGTATGAAAAAATTCAAATTCTATGATTATAAAAAATAAGAGAGACAGGAATTCTTTTACTTTTTCTCACCAAGTTAGCAAACGAATGTCAGATTTTTTTTTTTGACGTGAGATTCTTTTGTACGTTAACTTCTCTTTTATTAACTTTTTGCGCTCTCTCTCTCTCTTCATAAATTCATCATTCGTGTCTCTCGATAAATCTTTATATTATCACAATTATTATTCTCAATTTAAAAACATGAATATATCGCAAAGTATCCTCACATGCAGAGTGCACTGGGAGCAAGAAGTCTCACCCACCTCTTCTCGCGGGCAACCATGCAGACGCTTATTGAGCTCACGCACCGAGAGCGACATAAGGAGTTCGTCGTTCATCAGCTCCTCCTGCGGAGTCGAGCCGTTACAATTGGAGTACAGGTGGCCGTTGTTCGTACGATGGCCCGGGCTGGGCCCGCCGGCGCCGCAGGAGCTCACGGAGCACACGCTCAACGGTCTGCCCGGTTGCATCGGGATTCCCTGCATGCTGTCCTCCATTCCCTGCATCACACCCCCGCCCGCGGGAAGCATACCTCCGCCTGCACTCGGATAATACTCTATGTGACTCGACATCGCCAAATATCCACCTGTGTGACAAAAATTGCGCGCCCTATAATACAATATTTCACGAAAACGCGCTGGAAAGAGAGAGAAGAAAACGTGAAAGGTGTTTGGTGTATGATGATGCGTGTATTATACCTGTGTTACGATGAACATTGGATCTGATGAGTCTTTTTAATGGATGATTAATCCACCAAGTCAAATTTTCACCACCGAACAAAATGCTGAATGATTCTGACACAAGTATTGCGACACTTTTTACTTTCTAGGTACATTGTAGGATTTTTTCTCCCAAGATGAGTGTAAATACACTTGTAAACGATTGGTCCTCGTTTCGAAATTATTCCAAGCAGAATATCTCTGTCTGGTGTGACAAGTGTACTTATATATGCAACTAGATCTCTATCTTTCTAAGCCAATTTTGTGTAAACGCAACAGCGTGTACCTGTGTGCCTGGTGAGTCGCGACGGATGCTGCAGCTCCTGAAAGGGATGATGCGACGTCGGGGCCGACCAGGACTCGTGATGGGGCTCGTGGTTTGGTTCCTGAGGACAGTGAGGCCTCAGATCCAGCGGCTCCTGTCGCAGCGACTGCGTCAGCCATCCCATCCCCGTGTTGACCTGCATCTCTTCCTGCACGAGCGCCGACGGTTGTTGCAGCTGCAGCAGTATGCCACCGCGGTCGCGAGGATCGCGCGCATCCCGGAGATCTCGGTCGCCCCGGTGCAGCTGCAAAGGTGGCGGCGACGCCGAGACCGGCGGCGTGTCCGGCGGTGTGCCGGGATGAGAGAGCGTGGTGAGGTGCGCCGCGGCGCCCGGCGGTGCCTTCACCAGAACACCATGCTGCACCTGAATGTGCGGCTGACCGTACAAGGGATGCGGTTGTTCCAGCTCGTGCGCGGGCGGCGTCAACGGCGCAAGGGTCAGACCCTGCGGCTGCACCTGACTCGGAAGTTGCACCACGCTGCCGTTCACCATCACCGTCGGCGAACTCATTCGAACCTGCAACGCGGAGATTCCGAGACCGGTAGTGTAATTGGCGACAGAACGAAAAATAATGACAGTCAAAACAATCTTATTTTTTTCTTACGTTTTGGTTGATCTCTTTATACTGTGATAATGTGTTTTATACAAGAAAGATTACGATTTCCTTAAATGTTCCCGACCAGATTTAATATACGCGGGTATGCTGTCTACTGTTTCTTTCACAAAAGAACACTTTGCACGTGTCAGTAGTACAGATTCGCGATTTATTTAGTTTACACATGTGTTTCGGTCCCGGTTCTCGTGCAGCACGTACGCCGCTCACTGTGTTCATAACACACTGATATAAATAATGCTGTAATAGAGCAATTATAATTTTGTGTATTTTTTCTTGTTTTTTGTTTTTTTTTTTTTTTTTTGGGAACAACATTATCAAACTGTTACATAGAATGTTTCTTCTTAAATTGTATAAATCAGTTTTACTAATAATAAGTTCAATAAGTTTTTTTCTCTATATACATTGAGATAAAACTGGAATGTTCTTAATTAGATTTTTTTTAGATTTAACCCTTCTTTGCATGATTTTTTCTATTTTTTTAAATAAATCAGGGTCAATCAACAAATTTACAGTTTACAGTTTTTGAGTACCTTTTTTTCTTCACTAAATGTTATGATTAAAATTTCCATCATCATGCAAAGAAGGGTTAAATATAAGAAAACGCGTAAGAATAAACGCAAAATAATAAATGTTTTTAATCCCAAAAACACCAAGACATTCATCAATCAATTCTCGTGATAATTAAATAATCTCTTGACACGCAGTAGTTTGCAAACAAAATTACTTTGGCCAAAAACCAAATCACATACATCTTCATTACCTAATCCGACTTAGATATATATTTTGCGAGCACGGTCTAATTAAAGGACAATAAAGTTTTGCCTGCAACAAAAACTCACTGACTTACGTATGCAATCTCAGAAGTAAGGAAATTTCGCTTTTTTTGACTCGCTCTCACGTTTTTTCAAAATGTGATATCGCGCTCACCTCTCGCTTGACGTCGGCGGGGTCCAGATGATCGAGAACGAACTCCTGCACATACTCCCTCGCCAGATGGTCCTCGGCTTCCATCTTAACCTCGTCGACCTCAACTTCTACTTCTTCTACCGCGTTGACCGCGGTCGCATACGTGAGCGTCTCCTGGTCACCGCCGCCGCCACCTCCGTCGCCAGCACCACCGCCACCTCCACCTCCGCCACCACCCGGGCAACTCGTCACCGTCGTTTGTTGCGTTCTGACCACTTTCCTGGTCGAATATTCCGACGTCGAGGTATAAATTACTCGGACGAGATGTCCGGACAACGATCCGCTTCGCCACGTGAGCGGCAAACTCGAGATCCCAAGTTCCGATGAAATTCTTCTCGGTCTCAACGCAGTCGACAATGAAAAACAATTTTCTGCGATCACTTAGAAAAGACTCAGACCTTTCAAGCAAATCTGTCGGAAGCTATGTGCTTCGACTTGTCGTTAGTGCATACTAGCTTTTTCGCGACGTCTTCTCCGATCCTGATCTCGATTCCCGAAGTTTTGATTCTGTTTCGCCGGAGTTTTGTTAATACAGGAATTGATTTTATATATGAGATTTTATGCAGCACGTAAATAGATTGCGCAGATCTGGACGGTACTTGGATTCGCAAAAGACCTCTTTTCTGAGGGACGACGCAATGGCGTCGTGACAACCTGCTCTATGCAGGCCAGGTGAGAGATTAAAAGACTTGGCCGAAAACTACTGTACAATTACGGTCAAGATCCTCTTAAATGTTACGTCACGTGTAAAAATCTAGGATATGTCACGGCGAATACAAAGAGCAATTCTTCGTATCGCGTTCTCAACGTGTGTGTTATTACTAACTGCACACACCCTTAAAACTGATATATTCGAGCACAAGAAGAATCTCGTTGAAAAGTTCGCGAATATATATGTATATCTTCTGATTCTTATCACTACCGCCGAATATACTTCGTGTCAATCGCCCCACAGTATTTCCGCACACTATATCGATCGAAATTTCACCCGCAATCACTGACACTTGGACACTTTCCCCGCCAAAAAAAAAAGCGTTCGAATTCTGGCGAGTGATTTTCCCGCGAACGCTCCGCCAGTTCCGTTTCCCAGTAGTATCGCGGAGTGTGAACAGTCGGATCTTATCCGCTTCCTTCCGCGCGCCGCTCGGCGACAAGATCGAGAAGCGACGGAGGCCTCTCAATTAATGAGACACTTCGCGCTCGTAGATCGGAACCGCCGACGACTCCACCCCCCGAGATTGATTTGCGCGATCGAACGATGCCTCCGTCGATCACGCGCGCGCGTGTGCTTTTTTTCGAATTTTCGCGGTCTCCACCGAGCGAGAAATCGGTGAAGATCACAGATTGCGAGTGAGTGAAGAAAACGGGGGAAGAGAGAGAGACAGAGAAAGAGAGAGAGAGAGAGAAAACGAGCGAGAAAGAGAGGGAGAAAGAGAGAGAGAGAAAGAGAGGAGAAAAAGAGATTGCACTTAAAGAGAAGGAGAAAAATAGATCGCGTGGCAGACAGCAAGTAGATACGCCGTCTGAGTGGTGACTGGACGGACGTATGCCGAGAGTGAACGCGGATTCAATCTTTCCGCGCAGGACAGACACGTGACGTCACACGCGGTGGGCGTGACCGTCGTCGCTATTCGGCACTCGATCACACCCTGCGATTGGTCGGTTTCATATCGCGCCGCCATTTGTACACTCCTCCCACGCGTCCCCACCAACACCCGAACTGGTGTAAATCTCCCTTTGGCCGCCGCGCCACATCGCGCGCGGATCCGGTCTCACCCCCTCGAGGGACAGTGGGAGGGAGAGGGGGAGGTACCCATTAATTTCTAAAGTGATTATTATAATTTTTCAGCGGGGGTGCGATCGCGCGCCTCGCGAGTTTCTCTCTACTCTTGCGTCTCACTTTCTTTCCCTGTCTTTTCCCGCATCTCCTTCTGTGTTCCGCCCCGCACTACCCCTTCTAATATCACCTCGGCTCTTGCTCGTCTTTCTCTCCTTGCGCTTTCTGCGGAACGCGTCGTATCTCGCGATTTTTTCTCTTCTTTCCTTCCGAATTTCAATTTACTGGCGGCCGACACGACCTTTTATCTCGCGACCGCGATCTCGATCTCGAACGAGAGAAGGTGTAAGAGAGAGAGAGAGAAGGGGCCACGATTTTCCGCGCGGACCGAACTCCGAGAGGGCGGGCACGGGTCACGGAATGTCGCGTTTACGACACGACGTCCGCGCGCCGAAGTGGAGGAAAGACAAAGAGAGAAAGAAAGAGAGATAAATAGAAAGGGTGATGGCGCGAGGGAGGTAAATAGAGACTCGCGAACGGGTATCGCGGATCGCTGATCATACCCGGTTAACGAGATATTCCGTCCGGAAGGAAGCATTCACGAGAATGTGTGTGTTCTCGCTCTGGTGTCTCGTCTTGAATGTTGTTGCAAATTGCTTTATATATCTCATTTTCAATGACTGATCCAATTCCGGATCTAACAGCCGGATTTTTCCACCCCTCTGAAATATATTTTTATTTTAATCTTAATATCCCAATATTCCTAATATTCTTCTGACGCTGAGAAAAAGATATACGATATATAAATTATTATAGTGAGAAAGAGTATTTTACAGTCTGAAGTAATTGAATATGTGATACGATATCATCGGTATGACACGAATGTAATTTAGATTTGCTGTGAAAATAGCGTTACTCTTCGATCGTCGAAGAGGCTTAAGTGCGAGACAGTTTATGCGAAATGGGCGCAAATCACGGACTCGCATCTAAATAGGTTTCTACAAACGTCTACCAATCTACTCCCCCCGGTTAGCAGTTCGTACTACACTTCTTACCCATCTCTGAGACACCGCGCACGACTTTAAAATGCTTCATGAATATCAAATCTTCTTTCTTTTCCCACACGCCTTCCGATGTCCCGTGTTCTTCGGCTTTCGGAGAGTGCTAAATTTGTTTAATCTCAAGAAGAGCAGGAGAAACAGAAATAATTCATTTTATTGCATAAAAATAATCTGTACTTACCTCTTGTTTTAAACAATTTTTTTTTGTTTAAGTGAACTAATGCCTTGTTGACGAAGATATTATCAATTTATTGTTTTATTAAAAATTAATATGCTGAATTTTTTTAAATTAATGTTAACCAAGTTTTCTTTACACGATCAAACTCTTTCTCTCTTTTGTATCGAAATTAGAACGTACTTCGATATTGTCGGCTTTTGCCGCATCTTCGGCATTTGCGAATAACAAGCTCATGAAGATTCTTTTTTTTTTTTTTTTTATAAAATAATTGAGATTGTCAAAAAGAGAAAAGAAAACGAAAAGACGACGAAAGTCGATCTCTTGGGCTTTAAGGTCTATCCCTGCTTTAACCGTACGTGTGGCAAGGTGACGGCACCTCGACAAGACAAAATCGGTGCAGACGGCGACAGTTTAAGTCGTCGTCGTGGCCGTCGTTTGTCGTCGTTGCCGAGCGAGAACTCGAAATAGTGACGAGAGCGAGTGACGATAGGTTTGGCCATTTTGTTGAGCGCGAGGAATTTGCCGACGCTGCAGTTCGACACATTCTGCGTCTGCCGTTTCCTTTCCGTTCCTGCCTTCGCCATTTGTTCGCGCTCGATATACGTGCGCCACTCGATTTCTCAGTATAACGAGTGTCGGAAATTTTCCACTTGCCGAGATGCACTAGTTGCGCCGAACGTGACGCTCGGTGATCGCCACGTGTTCAAAAATTTCGAAAATTAGAAATTTTTATGCAGAGAAGTGTGCGTCTCATTCCGTTCCGACGTGTCTCTCGAGGCGATAAACAAAATTATTATCAACACTCTTGTTGATATTTTTACCAAGTACACGTGATCAATTTATTTTATTAAACAATTTCGAATTGAAGTTGCTCGTTTTAGAACAAACTCGCTGTAGGAAATACATGCAAAACATTGTCGCGTTCTAAACGTTCGGTATCAAATGATGTGTCACATGCATATGCTGATGCAAGCATCTTAATAAGCAGTCTTAAAGATGAGCTTCGTTTCTGTGAGATTCTCATAAATATTAAATTATTTCCTAGTTAAATGTACAACATAGAATATTTTGAGAAATGGCAACATTAAAATTGTGATAAAATATTATAAATTTATAAAGTTTATATTAGTTTTGTTTTTCGCTGTTTGTTTATCTTCTTCTCGTTCTGTTCTTTCTACAAAAGATCAAAGTATAAATATATATATATTTATTCACAACAGTCATTGTAAATTTTTATTGATATATTTGCAGAAATAAAAATCAGATATCAAACTGAAAATTAAACAATTTACTTACTTCATATTTGTTACGTGATATTTTTTCTTGAAAAATATTGATTCTTCTCTGAGCACCGATTGGAAAGAGATTGTTATTCAAAACCGTGTCCGCGGTGTGTGTTTCAAAACCACATCCCCTTCACTCCTATATCAAACTGACAATCTGACTTGCGGCGGAAACTGCTTCTCCCATTTACTATTATTTTTCCTACGGGGAGGAGTAGAAGGACCGATCTGTCGCGCGTCCGAGCGAGTCTCGGTCTGGCTTGGCGCTACTTGGCATTGCGAGCAACAAACTTTACGGCGTGATTTACGAGAGCAATTGCATCCGAAAGCCAAACAGGAAAAGTTCGGACTTTCTCCAGAAAGTCGACTCCGTCGCATCTTGCGCGAAGCCGATTTCTGCCGGATCTTAACTTTGACGCCGAATCTCGACCGAATCTCGAGTTCGTCTTTCGATTGCGCGTTCTGATCTCGTTTTCGCGTCAAGCGAATTATATTACTTTTGTCGGAACAGAACAGACTTTTTAACACACACGGAACATCGAATGACCGTGTAATAATGTAATATATTTGTCCATTAACAGGTAATTAATTTTACACCAAGGTCAGATTTAGTTTTTACCGTGTGTTTAGAAAAAACAAAAATGTAATTATTAACAACAATCGGGAATATAACAGTGCGTTACAGGGGGGGTTTTAGTGCAGATTAATAGACATTTGTAATCAGCATAATGTGCGAGAGGCAAACTGAAAACAGGCTGGTTGAGTGTGTAATCAGTATGCTCAACACTGCGCTCTCCACCATCAGGTCCTTCCATTAATTACAACGCGGTCGCGTGCGTACACCCTTGTTGCGATTCGTTATGCCCGTTGAAGCGCATAATTGAAATTGCTAATAGTGTAGTCTCCTTGGCGCAAAAACAGTCATAATTTCTAGTGCATCAACCCGGCAACAATCAATTTTGAGAACACGATTCGAGTTTTCGAAATTTGAGCTTATATATTCTTGCTCGTACCTACAACATATACTAACGAACCTCTCGTGCTGATATTGCCATTATAATGAGATGCCTTTTCTCAGATAAATGTAAATATAAAGCAATTTTTTATTTTTCATTAAATAGCTATTTAAATCATTTCTAGTTCGACAATTCAAACACAGAGAATTTTCGACATCGTAGAATAAAAGAAGCTCGCGCTTAAATACGACAAGTTCGCCCGACGTGTTTCTTCCAACAAAAGGGACATTCTAGGTCAGAGACATTTTAATGTAACAGCAAATCTGCCGTTAAAAGCGAGCGAAGATCTCAACGCGCGAGATGATATATATAAAAAAAAAAAAAAACAGCATTAATTTCCTAACGTTTTTCTCCCGCGCAAATTAGAAGCAAGCCGGAGTCGGCTTTTTCGCGGAATTCTAAAGAGGCCGAGTTTATGGAGAAATTTCGAGACGAGGCTCGCACACACAGGCGAGATTAAGGCTACGGAATCGGGAGTGAAGGTGGTGGAGGACACACAGGAGGAGACGAGGAATGAGGGAGAGTGCTGAGCCAGCATAGCCCGCTTGCCAGCCTGCACATCGATACCAACCAGTCAGCCGGCAAACCAACCTATCTACCAATGAACCCACCTCTACACAGCCGATAGAAAAATTTTTCTTCCGCCGGTGGAAAACGTGCGTACGCGCGTGCATCCCACACAATTCGGAATTTCACGCGTCATTCCATTGAGAATTTTTCCCGGCGCTGTTTTTTTTTTTTTTCCGACGTTGCCGCGACGGGACGCTCATTTTCGAATTATTATTTTTTTTTTTACTCATAAGCATTTCTCCGATTACGCGTGTATGTAGCACGCAGCGTATGACGAAAGTGATATAATTTTTTGGTATTGATTATTTATACTTTTCTTTTTTTTTTTTTGCAAAATGTATACGCGACAACGATATGCGCGACAGCGTTTTGAAAAATTATCAGCTCCGCCTCTTCCACAACGTCTTTAAGTATCTTATCTCTTCTTTTACACACAAGTTATATAAATTTGTATTAATAAACACATGCATGCTTTTCATATTAAAAACGTGCCGCTACGCACAAAGAAATAAATTCCGACCAATCGCTGCACACGCTTCGTCGAA